TAATCGCGAGTGATTCACCGAAGTGCAGTAAACTACGTTGGTGCACTTCAGCTCGTTTTTGAACGCTGAGTTTGAAACAAACAAGTGATAGCTTGCCAATTTACGCTTACCTTTAAATGAAGTGTGGTTTTTGTATGTCTGTCAAATGAGAAATTGATTTCAATGATTTATCATCAGACCATTACAATCATTGTAGGCTACAAATAAAAATAAATCCAATTAGTTCAAAGCGAATAGACCATGGTAGGGTCTAGGTCAGAGGAGAGAAAACGAACCAGGTCTTCGTGGGTTGGTTGTTCGCTTCCGAGTTTGACCGAAAGCAGTCCACCTGGGCGTCTTCCGCTTTCGCTGGCCACTGAAGCTGAAGAGTCTGAACTAGCTTCTTCTGCTAGCATAGGGCGCCCCAGGTCCTCAGACAGAAGGGGCTAAGTCTCACTACCATAGAGTACGACTGCCCTCACTGTGACCTTGTAAGCACGGCCTTTCAAGACGGAGGGAAACCTTTCTGTCGCCAAAGATGACGCAGGTTCAAGAGGGCAGTGCTGGTTTTTGCAATACGTGAACCGACTTCAGTTGTTGTGCGCTCATCGTTACTGATGCAGCTGCCAAGCAAACTGAATCAGTTAACTAATTCGAGTTCCTCGTTATCAAGGGGTCATCAAATGGCTGCTGGTCCTGCAACAACACTTTGAGCTTTGAAGGTGCAAAGCGCATACCAAATAATGGGACCACTCTAGATAGGCTATTCATGGTTAATTGTACCCGCAACATCGGAAGACGCGTTTCAGATCCACCTCATGTCCGATGTCCACTATATGGACCGGAATGGCGCTACTAATGGTCCAGACGCGTACTTGACGCAACCAACGTGCGCAACGTCCGTTCACGCGTTTGGATAAGCACCGCGCCTTTCGAATACTATACTTGATGTCATAGGCGCATGAGCTGACAGAATATCATGAAGGTGGTCAGCTGCGACACCTTGTCCTTTTTTACGAACGAATGAGGGATTCCCTTGAAGATACTCACCTTAACGAGGCTACTGGGAAGGTCGCCTTTATCGCGTTTGAAAGTCTTCTGGTTCGATGCTCGGTATCCACGTCCCCTTTGAATTCATTGATTAAGTTGATCACCTTAGCCTATGATAAAGTTAGGGGTAAATGTGAGATCGTGAATCATATATCAAAAGATCGAGACGCTTTTGCCAATCTCCGCCAGCTGTGGCGCTGGCGCGACATCACTCTCGTCCTGTAAGGCAGAGTTTACAATGCAATCGTTCCTTTAACTCTCCTATACGCTTGTGAAATATGGCTCATCAAACCGACAGATATATTG